TATGTCATATAAATTGATAATTACCATATAATTTCTGGATAAATGACTTCTCTTAATCCTTTAATGGAATACCTTTACATGTCCAAGAAACAGTCTTTGTGTTTCAACACGGTTCAATGACTGTGACTCATCGCTTGATTTTCAAAGTTGCAGTATAATTCGCTAAAGCTGAAGTGAAGAGCTCAGACTAATATCACTCGATTCGTATTACTATCAGACTAATAAAATGAGATATCGATCGCTTACTTGTCAACCAAAACGTATTTTGGGTTTCTTCGAAGATATAAAACCATACGTGCATTTTGCCAACCGGCAACGTTAAAAGATTACTGGGTTTAAACCAAACGTTATACGAAGGTGCGAAAGTAGAGATCAAATACGAAAAGGAACTTTACGAAGCACAAATTCTGAAATTTCACGGTAAGTTTAATATTAGAAATATAAATATCTAGGATTCTAGGTCTGTAACGCTTGTGTATAAGCATAAAAACGTGGTGTGAAATCGCTAACATGAATATTTTCCGACGCCCACGGTTTGTTTATGAAAAGCGAAACGCGATAATTTCCGACGATCTACGAATAGAACTCTTTCTCAGCTGCGTCCTCGCCCGCAGACGCAAAGCGGACGCATGGCGCCCGCACAGTGGACGCACCCGCAAGTGCCCGCAGACGCACAGTGGACGCACGACGGACGCACGGCGCCCGCAGGACGGACGCACCCGCGGGCGCCCGTGGACGCACAGTGGACGCAAGATACCCGCGTCTTGGACGCGGTTTTTGATAAGTTATTTCTTGGCAGTACTGTAACAGTAAATTTCTGTGCAACGTGCGTATCTTTCCCTTTCCTGATTCGGGTTTGATATCATAAACAGGACTCTCGGGATTCTTCCTCGATACCACTACGTGAATCTCCTCTTCCCAGAACGCTCGTATTTTGCCTGAACCTCCGCGTGGTGATAGGTTCCGAACAAGCACTCGGTCACCAGGTAAGAGGACAGTCGACCTTACGCGTTTATCGCTCTGTTTCCTTCCCTTAGACGCCGCTTTCTCCGCAGACTTGGATGCTAACATGTAAGCTTCCTGCATTGCTTTCTTCCATTTATTGGCATAAGCTGGATAACCGATTGATTCTTCTTTTCTTGTTAAGTTAAACATCAAATCAATGGGAAGACGAGGCGGTCTACCAAATAGTAGCAAGAACGGGGAGAAGCCAGTAGATTCATGCTTCGTACAATTATACGCGTGTATTAGTTTGTTCACATGATCCTTCCAATTAGACTTGTACACTTCGGGTAACGTTCGCAACATGTGTAGCAAAGTCCTGTTCATCCGCTCCACCTGGCCATTTCCCTGTGGATGATAGGGTGTCGTTCTTGAATGTGCGATTCCCGAGAGCTGCTCTAGTCTACGAAACAGTTTATTTTCAAACTCCCCTCCCTGGTCGTGATGTATTCTAGACGGGAAGCCGAAGCGCGGAATGAAATCATTGTAAATTTTATCGGCTGCCGTGGCCGCGGTCTTGTTCCGTGTTGAATACGCTTGTGTATATCTGGTAAAGTGGTCGACTATGACCAGTACATACTCGAACCCTCCCGAACTTCGCTCTAAATGGACAAAATCAATTGATACCAGTTCGAATGGTGCGGACGTAGAAATGGAGTGAAGTGGTTCTCTGTTGGTAAAGGTGGGTTTTCTCTGTTTAACACAACTACACACGTGCGTGATAAAATGTTCAATATCGTTCTTTATTCCAGGCCAATAGAACCGTTCCCTCGCGAGGTTGAAAACGCGTTCTGGACCAAGATGTCCCATTTTCTCGTGTAGTTCTCGAAATACTAACGATCTATACTTCGTTGGTAGTACAAGTTGCTGGCCTCGATACAAAATACCGGTCTTCCTGTCGATCATGAGATTATGCCACTCCCGGAGGTATTTCTTTAGTTCAGGGGTTTCTTGTTGCCTTTCTTCGAGAGTTGGTTTCTTTCGCGCCCGTACATACCGCTGAACCCGACTTGTCGTTGGGTCTTCTCGTTGCGCTCTAGCGAACTCTGTCTGTTTGAACTGGATGGTGTTTTCTCGCTCTGGCAAGAATAACTTGTCTGTCTCGAGGGCCTCCGGCTGATTCGTAACTGATGTAATCCAGGGGGAATCACCATTGCTGACGGAAGAAATCTGAGAGACTGCTGCGTTGAACTCCGGATTTGAAACCGTTTCAGAACAAGAGTCCATGAATCTTTCGAAGTCCGCAGGAATTCTGGACAGGCTATCCGCGTCGATGTTTACTTTTCCCGGTCTGTATTTGATCTCAAAATTAAAGTCTGCAAGTTCCCCAACCCAACGCAAACCGGTCGCATTAAGTTTCGCTGTCGAGAGAATATAAGTCAGTGGGTTATTATCAGTATAGACTACGAAGGATGGTGCATAATATAAATAATCCCTGAATTGTTCGCTGACCGCCCACTTTAGAGCAAGAAACTCTAATTTCCCCGCATGTAAATGGTAGTTCTTCTCAGCTTGCGTTAATGTGCGTGATGCATATGCGATGACACGGAGCGTTCCGCCTTGACGCTGATATAACACGGCTCCCAGCCCGTTCTGGGAAGCATCTGTATGAACAACGTATGGTGAACTGTAATCAGGGTACGCTAGAATCGGGGGTGAGGTGACGCAATCAATCAATGTATTTAATGCCGTCTGGTGTTTCATAGACCACTGAATAGGGTGGTTCGATGGCAGTTGCCCATTCTTCCTGGAGTTCTGATTAGTGTTCACTTTCCCTTCCAACAGCTCATAGATGGGTTTAGCAATCTTCGAAAAATCTTTGATGTGACGTCGGTATACTCCTAACAACCCAATTACTCTTCGAACCTCGCCGACAGTTCGCGGTATTTTGCTCTTCAACAGGATAACAGCTTCGGTTGCTTTTGGATCAATGTTATACCCCTTTTCTGATACTATTCTCCCAAGAAACGATACTTGACGCTTGAATAACCTGCATTTTCCTGACTTCAGTTTAACACCATGTTGTTGCAGTTTCTGCAGAACTAGACGTACGTGTTCAACATGCTCTTCGAATGATTTGGAAAATATAATAATATCGTCGAGATAGGGAATGCATATCTGGTCACGTACATCCCCTAAGCATCCTTCCATGAACCGTTGGAAACTAGCTGGCGCGTTCGTTAGTCCGAATGGTTTCATCGGCAAGGCCAGTTTCTAGGGCATGCAAGAATAGGCCTTGGACAAGCCCTTCATCATATTTGATCTTGGTATCCGATTCTTTTGATGCAAACACTATTTTTTGCCGAATTGTCAGGGCACGAATTAAAAATTCTTGTGGACTTTCTTTTGGGGCTTGACTGATATTAGCCAAGAGCTGGAAGAGCTCGGTAGCACTTTTCTCTTGGAAATGAAAGCGTAGTATTTTACGTAATCGTGGTAATGTCAACCCATTTATTCCCTCCAAATAACTTCGTAGTTGTAACCCAGCCTGAACAGCTCTAACCACAGCATGGGTAATTTCCTCTTCTGTGTAACCCTTTTGCAACCCAATTTCAATCTGTGAAATGAGTGACTGATATGCTAGTTTATCTTTATGCCCTGGCTCTCCGATTTGTCCTTGTATCTTGAATTCCCGACGGAGCATGCTTGTTTTCATGTTAAGAAATGCACTTTGTGGCTTATCTTGTTGTGTTACTGATTCACTAGTTATAGTTATGTCCTCAGTTGTTTTATTTTGGGTTTGGACAGTATTTATTTGATCTTTGAGTTTTTCCTGCTCTACTAGTAACTTTTCATACTGTGTTTTGAGCTGTTTCAGTTCCTGTTCACTCTTTTCTTTTGCTTTCAGGCTTTCCTCATTTTGACTCATTGCTTTGCTGTCTAAAATAGTTTGTATTTTTCCCAATAGACTGTCAAGCTGCTCGGTATTATACTTAGGTACTTCTTCTTCAAATACTGTACGTATAATTTTAATCAGTTCCAACCAACCCTTTTCTCCGATTTCTTCTACCTTTATCCATTTCATTTCTTCTCCAAATCGGGCTAATTCCATTCGTTTTAAGCCCAGCATACGAGACTGAAGCTCTATAATCAAATCTTCTGACATTTTTCAACAGTAAATCGTCCAACTTCCCGTTGTAGAACTTGTATTAAACTTTTATATACATATATATCCAATATCCACAATTTGTCAATAACTCACGTATATAAAGTATCATAAATCTCGCAAATCTCGTGTATTTTCTCGCCCAAACATCGATTTTTCTACATATTACCTTCCATTGTCTCGGTGGGACCTCCAAATGTTACTCCGAGTTCTTTTTGTTTTACATTTTATTCACTTTTAAAGAAGTATTTTAATATAACTTTTACAAAACATGTGTTCGTTGTCTTATCGTTTTTAAAAAGCGCTAGACTATATTACTGAGCCCGTTTCTACAACATAACCGCTGACTAAGCGCTAGACTATCTCGCTGAGCCCGTTTCTATAACATAACCGCTGACTAAGTTCCAGTCTTTAAAGCTGTTTCTTAATTGTTTTCTCACACGGCTACATAGGCAGGTTGTCAAGCAAAAAGCCCCATGATGGAACAACATAACATTGAGCCATTAAACACTTGAAAGCAAGTTGCAACGACACTGTTACAGTTATGAGCACTTAAACAATAATGGAATTGGAGAAAATATCATCTAAGACTACAGATTACTGAATATATAAATATTCTTATTATCAGTGCATACAGGGGGGCAATTACCCCCTCCCCTAAATAATTCCTGAAAGTCTTTGAATGGTGGCTGAATAACTACATGAGTAACTGTCAAAGCTACTTTTACATCTATAAATTGAAAGCTATAAATTGGTAGGCTATACATTAAGTAAATTTGCAAGAAATGTATATAAGTTTAACTCATTGAGTCACAGTGTGCCCTAATGAACCCTAAAGTGCCATACTTTATTATTTACACTGTCTAACACCAGATGACTTTACTTGTCAACGGGAGAGTGTGGGTTGTAATATGGTAGTCACCCACATCCTTCCCCATTGTCTTATATATCGGTAGCTGTTTACTCAAAGAACCATGTAGAGATTGGCCATGCAAGCAAATACAAATGATAGTTCACTCAATTACTGTTGTCACAATACACACCCAAATACCACATTCTGACTGCTACATTACTTTGTCTAGTTCTTGGGTAATTTTACTCATCTTTGGAAAGACCTTGCACACTAATGGGTTAACATCGATTTCTTTAACTATGTTATAAAAAGTGAAGTAACAATATGCAAATTAGGTAAATGCATGAATTAAGCATGCGTGAAAGGCTTTGGTCCATAAAATGAAAGTTTCAGCAGCTATTTGAAGGACTTTTCTGATATTTGGACCATTAATAAAATTCATAAATTTCTCGTCGATGAACTCAAAATGCGTCTTAAACTTTTACATTTCATGCGCAAATATTTTGCATTTTAATGCTAAAAAAAGCTCCCTCTGCTTTGGAAAATTAATCTGTTACTACGAAAATTTCTTGTTTATTCTACATTATAAGTACCCAAACAATCAAATATTTATCAAATATTTAATGACATGTACATGAACAGATTTGTGAAATTGAGAGCCGTTTCAAAATTGTCTACTTTTTTCTGATACACCTATTGAGCATTGAACGTTCACTTGGCTTAAAATTGCCTTTGTAAAGTGCTTGTCTGATACTGCCATGTCAGGTTTTGACAATATGATCATACAGCAGCATTTACTGAAGAAGCAAATAAGCAAAGTATAATGCGCATAATTATGAATTCACGTTGGTGATGTTTATCTTAGCGATGGTAATATCCGTTATACAATTCAATCATACTATCCTACCCAAACTGTCGATATTTAATATGACAACCACCAAAGCATATAGTGGCCATGCTGGTGATGGCCATGCTTCACTGTCCATGCATGTTGAGGACCGAAATTTGAGTTGGAAATACGTCGCTCAGATTGCAGGAAATGGTGTTTCCGGGCTTCAAATTTTTCCAAGGGAGCATGCCCCTCGACCCCCTAGTTAAGCGAGGTTCAGCAGCCACGGTGCATCGAAGAGGCACGCGTCTTAGCTGGTTATATTGATGAAGACGGTGAATGGCGCCCGGCGGGAAGTAAATGAAATGATAGTATTCTGATGTTGTACCAGTGGATTGCAGAAACTGGTGTCATAATTATTAAAGTGTTTTGTTGTTTTTGTTTGTTTTTCGTTATTTTTCATCTAAAATTGGGACTTTTTGGCTCAAATTTGAGGAGGAAATACGGTGCTCAGAATGCAGGAAATGGCGTTTCCGGGCTTCAAATTTCAAAAAATGTCCGGGGGGCATGCCCCCGGACCACCCTAGCATTGCCAGTATTATAGAGCCACGGTCACTTTTCAAGCTGGATCCGCCCCTGCTTGAGTGAGTGAGTGAGTGTCTGCATGACGTTGAATGTGACACATCTATCTCTAAGTAGAATATGATTACACTTAAAAGCATTGGTTCAAAAATATCATTTAACTTTGAACAAAATAATCTTTTTACTTAGAAAAATGATATCCAGCATTATAGGCAATTCCAGGCATTTAGTTTATGCGTGCAGGGCAGATGGGAAGCAAGGTATCATATTGCTGATTATGCTGAAAAAATAAAAATTAAAAATGGCGGCCGTGTAAACACGGAGTGATCGCTTATGCTTGTAAATATTGAAATAATGCGGTTGTTTCGGCAGTTTTTATTGACAATGTTCAGCATAATCAGCAATATGATACCTAACTTCCCGCCACCCCCTGTGCGCATAAATCAAAAGCTGGAATTGCCTATCGCTATAACATAATTTTTCATGTTTCAAATTCTTGGAAGTGCAGTATATATTATACCTATTACACTACCAATATTTTGGCCATGCATGATGCATTGGCCACACATCCGGCCTGATTACCATTTTCACCTTTTTTTTCCTTGAAAAATATCTAAAACTTCAGTCCTGAAAGAAAATTCGAAATAGAATAATTTTATGAAGAACAAGCAACAACTTAAAGTATTAAAGTACACATTTACATGCTCATAATTCTTCATTCATGACCAAGCAGTTTCATTTGATGGTTCAGCATCAGCTCGACTTCTGAATTTACTATATGAATAAATTGTTAAACACGGCCGAATTCATTAATACTAAATTCGCGATGCATGTTGAACCCTAATCTAACCCCGACTCTAAAAAGCTCTAGCCGTAATCTAATCTTAATCTGACCCTAATCTAACCCTAATTAACGCAAATCCAATAGCTTATATTAGCTCTATATAACCTAATATAATCTTAATCTAACCCTAATATAATCTTAATCTCACACTAATCTAAACTTGATGACCTTTTCTTTAATAATCTCCCCACCCCGGCACGACCTAGCTCCTTTTTAAGGCGCTTACATTTATAGCAAAACCTCTTGTCTATAACGCCTGTGGTATTGTGCGGTGTTTCGAATTTATTGTATTAAATTAATAAATTCGGATGTGTTTAACGGTTTTATTACTGAAATAGTAAATTCAAAGGTCGATGTCATGTTGGATGGTTTCAAATTGTTAGTGGCCGTTATGCAAATTGTTCCTTAAATATAATATATTTGATTTTAAATTCTGGAGTGTTTGACACTGTTTTGACGCTGCCCACAGTTATACAAACAAAAAGGCATATTTCTTTGTATAGTTTTGATTATTTTCTCGTCCGCTCGCAACAGATATCGCATGCACGGAATATTTAAAGAATTTCAAACTTGAAAGCATTCTTGTCATTATATGTATTCACATAAGGGATAACTATGGTAAATAACTCAACAAATACAACTATGCCTTTCGACCCTTCTCTCGAATTTCCAAGCGAGGTTCTACTGTTTTCAGTTGTATTTAAATTCATCGCGATGATTATTGGAGTTTTGGGAAATATCACAGTTATAATTTATACAATTGTCTTGAACAAAGAAAAGACAGCGACGTCTTACTTGGTAGGAAACTTGGCACTGGCAGATCTTCTCGTGTGTTTAACACTTTATCCAATATGGATCATTGAGTTTATACTGACTATATTAAACATTGATAGTGATCAGGATCTGTTTTGTAAGTTAAGTCGTTCTACCATCTGGGCATTGCTGTTCGCTTCAGTGGCTACACTTCTCGCCATTACTGTTGATCGATATTTATATATTGTAAAACCTCTGAAGTATCAACTGATTGTGACAAAACGACGAGTTTTTCTAGCTGTTGCGCAATTTGGATGACTTCCTGCTGTCTTCTCATTGTTCTTCTAGTTTATATTGAAAGATATTATTTCAGATTAAGAAGCTATTGCTACGTGAATAATTATATCTATCATTTTGTGATGAATAATTTTGTTGGCTACTTACCACTTACTTTAATATTAATTCTTAATATCTGGATTTTAATTGTTGCTGGAAAGCAACGAAAACGTATCTTTGCTGAAACAGTGGTACCCGCTACAACTTCCAACGGGCAACCTGCAAACAAAATGTCTGCCATACATGGATTTTTTCGCGCTGTTAAATCAGTTAAAACATTCTCTATTGTTGTTGCAGTGTTGGCATTCTGTATCCTCACTCCAACTGTGGTTGGACCGGTGCTATACTACTCTAATTGTAGTGAGTCATGTCAACAGATGTGGTACGTTGTGTTCCACTATGAACTTTATGGAATAAACTCGATCGTGAATTCTTTCATATATGGATCGAGACATATCAAATACAGAAAAGCGTATCGATACATTCTGTTTAAAATACTTTGTTGTATATATCAGCCCAGCAACTAATCGAGGATGCTGCCTTAAATAATTAAATCTCATAAATAAACCTCCACGTTAGTCTTGGCGCTTGTGCAAATATTAAGCCGCAATAATAAAGATAAACCAAACTGCCTGAAATTGAAAACTGCTGGAACTCAATGGGCATGCTAAATTATGAATCAATTCTGCAATTCTAAAATATTTTATCAAGATGCTATATTTTATCAAGTTTTTCGTCCTGGTGAAAAGAAATACTAGAATACTATGGCGGTGCATGTCGCTAGCAGGACTCCGCCCCCTATTTGTGTTCAAATCATCGACGCGCAAACCTCAGAACACTAGCAGTTTCGAACTGCACGATGAATACCTTATTCTTAAACAGCACGAACGCATTGCTGCACGAACTGCGACCTCAAACCGCACGAAACGCATGGGTAAACAAAGTGCAAAGTTATATTTGACGCTATGAGAAGTGTCGGCTGCATCAATTATTTTAGCTATAATAAAGATCATAACGATAGTTAGTGCGGCAACCAGAATTGTTGATTTTAGATTCCATACGATTTAAAGTGCTGAAAAACAAGTTAGCGTAGAAGACTTAGAAGATTAAGCTTCGAAGTTAGCTTAGAAGATTAATATAGAAGATTAACGACAGGCCTTAAAATATCGGTCGGTCACGGACATTGTCCGACCCATTCATGAAATTGTCCGACGTAGAGAGGAAACCACCGGACATTCTGTCCGACCTAAGTGAAACTGAGGTTTATTGTTTGTCCGACCCGAGTGTATTGGTGTCCGACCGAACTGTAGCTTTGTCTGACGCTTTCTCCACGCACGTAAATCAAAATGTACCCTAGTCCAGAACCAGAGTTTGTACAAAAATGAACCGAAAATGTTGCGGGGCGGCGAGTGAAATGGTGAGGTGGAAAACGGGCTTAAGTAATCGAAGTCGTACTGCTATCATTGGCAAGCAAGTTAATTTTGGCTTGGAAATAAGTATGAATGACACAAATTATTTAATATCTTCACAACATTTAGTTCAGAATGAATACATTATGCTGATATTAATTTGCGTCATTCAGACTTATTTCCGACCCAAACTGAACTGAAGGTCATCGGACATATGTCCGACCCAAACTCAAAGTCATCGGACATTTTGTCAGACGGCCCTGGAAAAGATATTTTAAGGCCTGAACGATTGAAACGATTTAAACGCACGCGAGTTACTTGTTGTTCTTTAACTAGAAATGAATTTAATTGACATGAATCACCTGTTGGTCTTTCTAAATCAACTTAAACTGACACGGATAAGATCTCCATGGCAAATTTCATTTTTGCTGCGAAGCGGGATTGAAGAACTTTATCGTGGAGTCCGTGGGATACACAACCTTCACAGTTAAAATACCGAGAAATGGAATGAAATTTTGAATTATGTAAATGTCAAATGAATGAACGATTATCGCAGGACTTAGGCCTGTTTTATACGTCGAATTTTGGTCGCGTCGAATGCAATTAAGACAATAGATAATGAGATGATAAACCTCATTAAACTTCATTATCTATTGTTTGAATTGCATTCGACGCGACTGAAATTCGACGTATAAAACAGGCCTTAGTCTTTATTATTTTCTTAATAAACATTATTGAGTTAGTACACAAGCGGCCCAATCTCGCAAGGGTCAGTATAGACTTATAGTATAAACGTATATTATAGTAATGTATATTATAGTAAAAATATGTCATAAAATATAAATTTTAAAATGAAATTGACTTGCCTATTTGATAGTGTGTGTTCTCCTTGTATTCCTCCTTTGTTGGACTAATATTTTCCGAGACTTTGTACTCGATGTTACTAGTATACATGAAACATGATAAAGGCTATAAACTTACTATATTTCCGATCGTCGATCCGACGGCACGGCACTTCGAGTCGAAAATTCTCACACTCAAATCGCTTTATTCTCCAAAAAAATTCGCCAACATGTACAACAAATGCCGTTCTTCGAAAATACGGAGGTACTTCGGCGAGATGTACAAGTTTTGGACCATATTTTAACAATGGAAATCAAAACCCATTTTATATTGAACTTGCCCAGACCGAAAATTACTACGGCGAACGCCTGCGCAACCAGGCCCTAAAACCGTTGGGATTTACGGGAGGAAGGACGCCACCTGCCCACTTCCCGCTTTTTGGTAATTCGCATGCTGTGCAATGGGAAACAACATATTACCCAATCTCGTTCCCAGAGTATGCCTGTTCGCGGGTTAGGTTGTGGCATGACTCTGGGGAAATCGAATCTAAATCGTTATTTGATTGGCTGCCGTGATCATCAATGCTGCCGACACAATTAATGCGTGTTTTTTTGCGAGAATTACGCGTGGACATACGCGAAGAGAGAATTATCAATGTTGATCAGATTTGGAATGCGAAATCAAACGATATAAATCGAAGGATATGATATTAATCGTATGAAAAAGTATTGGGACATTGGGTATATACTTACAAAATGGCATGGTATTTATGAATGACTTTTTATCGATCTACAGTACGAGTATATTCATTATAACCATGAAAGAATTGGCTAAATGAAATCATCGCACACATTATCGTTTTGTTAAATTGACATATTGTTGCCAGGACTTTGGAGTGACAGCTTTTGCTTGTGTTAAAAACTTGAAGCTTTAAACAATACAGTACATTATGGTCAATGGTCAACACTCAACATGTTGTAGCCTGTGGTCTTTGTGCTTTTGTAAATGGAGTTATCTATATAAATTTAAGATGCCAGGTGTTTTTGTAGCATCTGTATAATTTAGTATAAATTATAGAATAATTGATTTAAGAAGTTCCTCAGGTTGTAAAACATTTGGTTATAGATTTGCTTTGTAAGTGATTGCCACTTAACAGCATGATGGGCTATTCCATTTAATATCCGTACACCCCCTGTCAAGGATACATGTTTTTCATGGTTATACCCCTGAAGAATTTCAAACTCAAAACCTTTTACCCGTGAAGAATTCCAAGCTCAAAACCCTTTACCCCTGAAGAATTCCAAGCTCAAAACCTTTTACCCCTGTTCAAAGAATACTAAAATTCCAAGCTCAAAACCCTTTAGCCCTGAAGAATTCCAAGCTCAAAACCCTTTACCCCTGAAGAATTCCAAGCTCAAAACCCTTTACCCCAGAAGAATTCCAAACTCGAAACACTTTACCCCTGAAGAATTCCAAGCTCAAAACACTTTACCCCTGAAGAATTCCAGGGATCCTTGACAGGGGGGGGGGGGTATGGATATTAAATGGAATAGCCTGATGTAAGGCTATAATTAAGCCAAACCTGAAACAATTTTTACATCAATTTGTGTCTGGATAAAAAATAAGTAGTGAATTTAAATACAGATGTTTCCCTGTCTGTTGCTAGCTATGTACTATGTGAAACAATGTTGTTTATAGCAATGAGTCATTGTTGATCAATAACAATGCTCATTTGCTAAAAATATACAAGTATTGATTCCATTTCCAAACTATTATACTATGTGAATGTATTGGCAATTAATCCAATTATAAATAAAAGGAGATACTGACAGTAGAATTGAAATAGCTACCAGTTTCAATCAAATAACTACTTTAATTTCTGTATCAACTATCAAGCCTCCTGTGTATTGTTTCCTAAGCATCATTGAGGGGGCATTTGTTCTAAATATATGCAATAAGTCTGGTTACCATTAAAAAATGTCCATATTCAGAGTTACCGTTGTACTATATTTTATTAAAATACTGCAGAAATGCAATATATTTCATGATTTTAAGAAATTTAATGAGGGCTGCATGGTTAAAAAAGGAGGGGGGCTTATTTATTTTTGATATTTGTATCCAAATGAGGGGGGGGGGCTTTTTGATTTTTGTATCCAAATGAGGGGGGGGGGTTATTGGAGAGAGGCTTGAAGAGAAGGGGGCTAAATATAGAAATTACAGTACCACTATTCCTTCCTCTCCCTTCCCAAACATGCTGCAGGAGAGGGGCAACTGCAGGGGTTAAAGCCTGGATTGCAAGGTTGATGTATAATTTGCATGTTATGTACCTGGTAATATGGAGAAATGAGCTAGTAAATATATCCTTGCCTATAATTAGTTGCTGATTAAATGTTCAAAGATACACAGTGTGAAGCATGAAAAGTAAATGGAAGATACCCACTGCAAGAAATTTTCAACAAATATATATGGATTTGTTCACTTCATTTCTTACTTTTGACACAAGTAATTATGGTAATTATAATTACAAACACAATGTATTGTCATTTAAAGACTTTATATGTGATACATGTTAATGTAATATAATATAAAAAATGTGTTTATTGTTAAAATATAGGATATATAATACCGTAAACCTCTGACTATAAGCCCTGGGCTTATATTCTTTTGATGGGCTTAGGGCGGGGGGGCTTATATGCACGGGGGCCTTATAGATGGACAATCAATTGTGTTAGTAATAAACAAGTCAGTCATAAACAGGAAAATAAACATGTATTAATAACACACTTCCATTAACATAGTAAGCTATAAAGACAATGACAATGTTTCAAATATCGTTTTCTGCTATATTAAAAGACAATGTCAATGTTAAATAACATAGTGGGATACTGGGCTTATATTCAGGGGGCTTATATTCAGGGGACTTATGTTCAGGGGGGCTTATATTTGGGGGGGGGGCTTATATTTGGAATGAGGTGAGCATTATATTCAGAGGTTTACAGTATACAGTTCAAAAAAGCTTGTATTTTCTTGTCACAGACACACATTTCTGGGTGCATATAGAACAGCTTATACATCAGGTTCTCATGTCGATCCAATGGTAATTTGATATCGCTGCCATCACCATAATATAGTGTAGCACAGAATGGCCTTGTATCATACTTTGACATCATGATGCAGAAATGCCTTGGTCATTCATGTGGAGATATGACTATCACGATAGAATTAGTTACGCCAAGTAACACGTCGTACACGTCAGGTAGCAGCTGAAATATTTTAATATTTGCCATAATAAGCCCATAACCTGTTGGCAAAACAACCAAAACATCTTCACCATTTTACATTTAATATGGCCGAGATACATTTGAATGTCTCGTCTTTTAACGAATATTCAAGCCCTCTTTTCGCTAGAACAACTTTCATAGCTCTTTCAGTATTTGCCATTGAATATAATTTAATAGTATTACGATTTAAAGCACCTTTAAACGTATAAAAACCCATTTTGTATACTATATTCTGGTGAGAATCTTTGTTTAAAACAATATGATTGTGAGCGTGTGCCCGCGCGAATTTAGTAAGCGGAATAAACAAAAGCAATAAAAGCGCATGCGCCATTTATCTCATTTTGGATAAAAAAATTCGATTTCCCCAGAGTCATGCCACAACCTAACCCGCGAACAGGCATACTCTGGGAACGAGATTGCATATTACCGTGCTATATCATGTATGTTATAATAAGGGGCGGGCCATTAGAAAAGTGATGGGGGTCCATTTTCAACGTGCACGATTTTTTTTTCAAAATTTTTTGCTGTGTCGTTTATTATTTTTTTTAAATAATCCCTTGCTCGAATTTTATTTTTTTTCCAATTTTTTTTTTTCCAATTTCGAATTTTATTTATATATTTTTTTCGGTTGTTTCGGACTCACATCAGTTTAGATTGGCGGGGGTGGGTGAAAATTTTTTTCCCGGACTCAAAAATTTTTTCAAGACGAAGAAAAAAAGGTCAGTTTTGGGGGGGACACCCTTACACTGTATCTCTGATAGGCCCTGTCAACTTATAATTTTCCCTATTGAAAAGTCTCTGCACGAACTTTTTTTTTCAAACATTTCTGGTGCACGAATTTTTTTTCTTCTGTTTTCCCTGCTCGATTTATGTTTTTGCTTTTGCCCCCCCCCCCCATCACTTTTCCAATGGTCCGCCCCTAAGAAATGTATTTAAAACAATTTGTGATGTCTATAACCCCGTTTACACTACGCTCAATTTTTGGTACGGCACGGATGAAATTGGTACCGTACCACTTTTTTGGTTCTTGGACTATCTATTTAAGCCGCCCCGTTTACACGACGCTCAATTTTTGGTACTAAATAGGTAGTCCAAGAACCAAAAAATTCGGGTACGGGTACCAATTTTATCCGTGCCGTACCAAAAATTGAGCGTAGTGTAAACTGGGCTTATATATCATATTTCAAATTATCCTTAATCCTCTTATATAACGATCATATTTCGAATTAATGTAACTCCGCCACCCCCTGTAAATCCCAACGGTTTTAGGAGGCCTGGTTGCGCAGGCGTTCCCCGTAGTAATTTTCGGTCTGGGCAAGTTCAATATAAAATGGGTTTTGATTTCCATTGTTAAAATATGGTCCAAAACGTATACATCTCGCCGAAGTACCTCCGTATTTTCGAAGAACGGCATTTGTTGTACATGCTGGCGAATTTTTTTGGAGAATAAAGCGATTTGAGTGTGAGAATTTTCGATTCGAAGTGCCGTGCCGTCGGATCGACGATCGGAAATAGTTAGCCTTTATCATGTTTCATGTATACTAGTAACATCGAGTACAAAGTCTCGGAAAATATTAGTCCAACAAAGGAGGAATACAAGGAGAACACACACTATCAAATAGGCAAGTCAATTTCATTTTAAAATTTATATTTTATGACATATTTTTACTATAATATACATTACCATAATATACGTTTATACTATAAGTCTATACTGCCCCTTGCGAGATTGGGTCGCTTGTGGTTAGTAGGCCTACAATTTTTTTTGGCTTTTTTGGATGGAGTCATAATATTTCTGCATATGCTGTGTTATTTTAACTGTATGTTATAACTTTACTGTTTATCTCTTGTAATTAGTAGGAGAAGGCCAACCCATGGAAATATATACTTTCATGTGGAACTATATTTTTTGCATGGAAGTTAAGTTTTCAGATTCGTGCCAATATTAGTGCATCTTATATTAACCCTCGCAGAGTATATAATTCCATTGATGACTTTCTAAAATTTAAAAAATAGCCATATTTGCATGACTTTATTTGTTTCTAGAACTAGCTGGGGACCGATTGTATAAAGAACTAGTCAGAGTTAATTACAGTTGAGAAGTGAGAAATAAACTAAATCAGAATCACGAGTTAACTAATAGACAGATTTAGATCGAGGACGCGGACGTCAAAGACGACGCGAAAGTTGTGCCCATATGTATGGATATGCCACACAATTTTGACGCCATTTGCACGTCGTCTTTGACGTCCGCGTTCTCGATCTAAATCTGTCTATTATTTATGAGCAAGGTAATTGTTTAGAGGTCATCTAGAAGTTATAGAGTTACTATATACCATGCACATCAACTCCTGCATGGGCACATCATGTCTGATTCTGAAAGAAATATTTATTAATTTCATATCATATAGTTATAATAAAGAGCAGTCTAAGTAGTTGAGAATATCAGTTTAACTATGAGTTTGTAATTTAAATACATGAAAGAGTATATGTAGAGGTTTTTCATCGTCATTAATGATCCAAAGATTGAATAATTGAATACAAACTATAATTAACACATGCAATAAAACACGTTTCGTTTTTTTTGTCGGAGAATAGGTGTTTTGGAGAGAAGTACTCTGTGTTCATGTCAAACGACATCCCTCCTCATCGTCATGCATGCCAGACATTCCAACTCTCCCGATTTTACCGGGAGTCTCCCGAAAATTCATGCAATCTCCTGGTCTCCCGATTTTTAAAAATTCTCCAGATTTTTCAGAATATTCAGGAAATATAGTAAAAAAATCATAATTACATACTGTTTTTAGCAACATAATAGTCTGTCTTGACCTTTTTATGAAGTTCCTTAATGGCAATTTATAGGATCACTTATAACAACTTCTTCCCAAAATGCAGGAAACGCCATTTCAGAAGACTTAATTTTTGTTATTTTTTCCCAGAAGAACTAGATTTCAATTCACTGAACAGTCTCCCTAACCATTTCAATTCACTGAACAGTCTCCCTTACCTCCAGTAGTTTGAATATCTGCATGCACATATGCATGCATGTAATACTGTAATGAACTGATAGCTTGTCAAGGGAAGCGACCCCCTGACGTATCTGATCAAGAGCACACTTGGACAGTTCCTAACCTGTCCACTTGGGCAGTCGACCTAACCTGTCTAAGGTCCAATCCACAGAACCGCTTAGACAGTCCATATTAATATTCATATGTGACGTTACTATATAGTCTATGGGAAATGAAGTTGGCATATTGGAATAGTTCTCCAAGAATCCCAAAGTTTATTTATTTATTACACCAGTAACAATAACATTGAACCCCAGGTCACAGAACACTCTTTTGGGCGTTTTGCGGAAAATTGCTATTGCGCGCGGCTCAATATCAGTCCGATTTTCATCAATTTTCACCAAATGTTCTCGACGTAGTGCATGCAAAATATGGTAAAGTTGTAAAATTGACAAACAATATAATAATATAAGAATTATTCAGGAAAATCTTAAATCGCGGTACGTTTACGCTTTTGAGTTATGTTCCTGCTGGTTTTACGATATATTTATGAAAATATAATTTTTATACAGTAAAGTTCTAAAAAATTGTGTTCGGAAATTTTTGTTTATTTCGTCATTCCGCTGATATGGCAATTTCTTTGACGACTGCAATATATTTCTGAATCGTTTGAGTGAATTGCTCCTTATTATTAAAATATCTGGCAAAATTAGAAAAACGCCGAAGACAATTTTGAAACTGACGTCTGTAGCTATGTCCTGTGAAAATGTGAGAAAAACTCGTTTAAACCCGCAGGAGAACAACTCGTTTGAAAATCAGTAATTGCGTAAAATTCTTCGGGAGAAAATTGAATTTGAATATTACATTTTCAATGTTTTTCTTATTACAGCGAAAATTAATGTATTTTATTAAATAACTCTGCGAGTTTTCAACATTTTTCGTTCAAACTTGGTCAGATAGTAGAACCAGTCTATAATGCTTTCACGGAACCAGTAAAAACAATTTAGGCAAAAGTAACACTCAAAGGTGTTCTGTAACCTTAAAAAACTATGTTGAGTTCTTATACAGATACCATATAATTATAAACAATTTTGTCTTTCCTGCAACTTGCACGCCATGTCTGCATTCTTTGGCATCTTTCACTCCTGTTTACAGTATTATTTTCTTGCTATATTTCTGCATGCAGAAGAAGTTTATAAGTCAGGGTTTGGTCTAAGAAGATCTCCAAAATGTGTAGCTTTACTTCCAACAAATGCTTCATATTTGTTCACCATCTCGTCATACGACAACACATGATCCTAATGAGTAATGAAACAAATTAAAGCAATAGTTAAAATAAGTATCCTGCAAATTTCTATACATTGGACAGACTGAGTTATGTATTCAAAGAACTACGACGTATATTTTGAAAGTTCCCAAAACATTTTATACTTGTCGTCAAACATTTGGTTCACCTGGAATAAAGTGTACATTCCTTATTACAGCACAGATAGTTTCATGTAATTCGACCTAAGAATGCAAAGTTTTCCGATGCGAAATTGTATACCATGTGCTGAAGAAAGCAAGGAAACGAGAAGGAAACGAGAAAGATGCATAATTGTACCCTAGCTATATATAATTAAACAATATTTGTATTTAGTGGTGAATAAAAGTATCATCCAGCGCTCAGTCCTATAAGATGCATAAATGCATTAACTTTAACAAATGGTTTATAAGTATAGGTAATAATATGGTTTCACTTTCGAGTACAATTTTGGAAAAAACATGCAGGAAAGAGTGTTTTAAAGACGATCAAAATTGCACGAGAAACCATACTATTAGTTGTTAAATAATAATATAGGCCTACATGAAAAAATATGCAATCACCATGCGTGCGTAGGTCACATGCGAAATAGTTAATTTTAATATAGCTATAGTAAGTAATTTTAATAGAAAGTCTACTAAAAACGCCAGCCATTAATTTTTTGTCATTTGTAAATGTTTAGGTTTTTGTGTTATTTTCTGCTATATAGAAATGGCTATATCTTATAGTCAATGAAATTTGCCCTGTGTTTCATTTTTTGGCACTGTATTTCGAAAACATTGCACTGCTCGTAGCCAATCGGAATTGAGAAATTATTTGATGTATATTATTATAAAAGAAATGGACTCCAGAATAAAACTGATAGATATATGGTTAAAACTATATTGAACTTACAACATGCGTTAAAATTTGCTCCATGGTTGCAGGGACAATTTTTCGAACACTATGACATGTTTATCATTAATTAGAAATCTCATTTGTTTTATTTCAACGCATGGGTATAAGCAAACTTTGAAATAGCCCCCAAAAACCCACTGATAAAAAACTCTATAATTTATAAGGAATGAATTGTATATTAATAATTAATGCAGCCTTAATTACCATATTTCCGTCTGCCTGACTCAGAAGATGCATGGCTTCGTTACTGATAGTGTTTGCTTCATTGGGAACAACCCACGGAATCAATTCTTCCTAGAAAAGGCGAAAAATTGTTATTCAATTATAATTAAACGGCATCAAAATTCCAATGAAGTCACATCACTAACCGATAGCAATTGTGATTATATATATCGAGATAGACTGAAGTACTTTAAGATTCTAGCAATGCCCATTATTCATTAATTATTAAAAAATTAAATTTTATCATAAAAGTATAAGTTAATAATAACGAACACAACTAACGAGCAGAAGCAAAAGCCATTTACTGAAAACTTAATTACATTGTATAAAACATTCTGATCAATATAGTTACTGTCGATTACACATTTACACTTCAAGGAGTGATCGCCCAATTTATCTTACCCGCACACTTATGATACACGTGTTAAAAGACCTAAACCCTACGATTCGGCTTCGGAGGATGAGGAAAACTGGAAGCCTCAGGAAAACTGGAGGCCTTGATAATTCTCGATATCATACGAAAACCGAATTCAATAATTGTGTTATTATATATTCAAAAGCTAGAAAGAAAGCAAAGCCATTTTGTTTACGCTTTTAAATAAATTCGCGCGCTTTTATAGCAAACAATGGACCGTGCCGGGGCTTGGTAACCACAGCGTGCAACAATACTTCTTTTGAGTTCAAAAAGTATTATTGCACGCTGATGGCGTCATCAGCTGAAATAATGCAACGGCTTCAAGATACCGATAATTATCCGACGTGTTTTGACCATATAATAAAGTAAATTATTATATAGCAAATGTCAAAGTTCAATTTTCTTGCTTGCCGATTGGACAAAACTGTATGAGACGTGGCGGACACAAAATGTCATATTCACTGCATGCTTTGGTGAGGGGGCAATCGGACAACAATCAAACAACTGTTGACTAGTCACAGTCAATAATAAAACCGAAAGTGAGGCGCGAGCTGCTCGCGTCTGCCGGTCGATTTGCAAGTCGTTCAGAAGTAGATTTTTATCTATTATTAAAATTAAGAGATACGGATTTAATTTAATACCAGGTTAATTATTGAGACTTTTACGCTGGCTATGTAATAAAACACTTATTTGCCGAGACCTCTAGAAAACAGCGTGTTTTATGGCCCCTCGACCGTCTTTGTTGGCCAAAGCGAACGACAGTCTCGGGGCCACAAAACACGCTGTTTCCCTCGGTTTCAGTAAATAAGTGATAATTATTCCAGCCTTACTACGTCTGGATGGATTAATTGGTTATGGCTTAATTAATTCCGCGTTCTAGCCGTATACAACAACCTCGCAAGCCATGCAGGCTCTCTTCTTCCGCTTCCCTCCCAAACACGCGTTTTTGTGAGATTGCTGTATACAATTGGCAAATATATGTACCAGTCAACAAACCTTGTTCAATTTCCCATCTTTATTTGTATCCAATTGAGTGAAGTGACTTGCAACTCCATTGACGAGAGATTCACTCAGCTTCCCATGAGAATCACCTGTACAAATTGATTTAAAAATCAGTTAAAACACAAGTTACTTAATAAAGCGAAATTGATATTATACTTTTGGGATCAATTTTCAAACCAGCAAGTAGCGATCTAAATATCTTTGCTAACCTGCGAATTCTTTCAGTGAAATTTCACCATCATTATTTGTGTCCAAAGCTTCGAGGTTTTCCTTCAAAATAAAGAATGAAAACATATAAACCATTTGATGTTTATGAGTTCACGACAATAATTATGAGGTTTAATATCGGAAACGTCGACTTTTGAGCGCAAAACATACAATTGGACGACATGCAGTCGTGCATATTTACAGACTGGGCATTGGAAGTTGTCTTTTGCAAAATACTACGAACAAATACAAGCATTAAGCATTTTTATCCCACAATTTCCCTCTCTTTAAAGCCCTACCCACTTGATGGCATTAAAACAGTTGGATAATAAATTTATTTTGGGTGCGTCATACCACTCATACGATATAGGAATGAGAAATAAATACGCCCGTTTCGCGTTACTTTTCGACGTTTTGCGGTTGCGAATTTTGATTTTTAGAGGTCAGTGTTGAATTAGCTGTATACTTCTTACACGATGTTATCTGAATGGTATATGTACTTGTTTATTTACCTCAGCGACGACGTCCGTCATCAGAGAACTCTCTTCAGGATGTAAGAAAAATGTTAATTCCTCCCTACTTAAAAGACCATCGCCGTTCATATCAGCTTTCTATAAAATGATTGAAACTTTCATTACCACTCGGGAGATATTGATTTCAGTAGACCAAATTCAATAATGTTTAGCGGGGAAAATTCACCGAGACGAGGTTTCCCCGATAATCACCGAGCCTGAAGCAAATAATTGTTTTAGTATTTTTACACAAGTCTTTTGTGATTTTTGGAACTGAATTTATTTTATTTCGCTTATTTCTTTATCAGTAACTTCCACAAAACGGCTAGCCGCCATTTTTCAAATTTTGGTTTTGTTATATTTTCCTGCAGGTGAATATAACAGCTTAATACGCCAATTTTGACCAATCAACTTGTAGGATATGTTATATTGACTTGTGCAAAAATACTAAGAAACAGTTATTTCCTGGTCGGGTACTAATTACACTGGATATCTGTATTTGTCTTTTGTGTTATTGACAAGGCAACAGGCCATTCGCAGTTTAAGTGCAAAAATTAAACTAAAGTTCCAGGAAAAAACTTGTTAAATAATTAATAATAGTATATATGCACATACTGTATACATTATATACCTACGGTATATTATCCAGGTCACTCCCCATCAGGGCTTTTCAGTGACCGATTACATCAAGTGTCATGAGCTTACTAATATTACCTACTCAGCTTAGATTATTTATGTTTACAACAATTATGATAATTAGTCTACTTTCCTAACTGTCTTGATCCTAACCCACCCTGTCAACTTTCGCTGTGGGAGGAAACCGGAGCGTCCGGAAAAAAGCTACAACGTTCGGCAAAGCGTTGGCAGACTCTTTTCACATGAGGTCACGCGAGAATCGAATCCACGACTTCAGAAAGGCACTAGCTCTGAGGACTGCCTCATCGAAGCTCCATATATATATACGAAGCCCCGTGCATGTCGTGTGCAAGAAATGAATTGACATACGCTGTTGAATAAGTAAAGCACGAAGTTCTGCATTGGATACTAACAAATGATAGTAGTGTTGTAGCTACCGTATGGATTTTCCCGCCTTGCGCATGCGCAGTGGACGCATTTTGGCATGGCAAATAGGGCGGCCATGTTGTTTGTTTAGTTTTTGCTTAGTCGTAGAACCAAACGGTTCTAAACGTAATAGTAAAGGTACAAGTAAAAGTAAACGTAAAATTTGATAATTTTAACGTAAGATTTGTATAATGTGACGTTTGTTTCAAATGTATGATGATTTTATTCAACATCAGGTGCTATAGTCGGACTATAGTAACAGTTTAGAACCGTATTTCTACGAGTTTGGATCGCTATTTGGACTAGTCTATTTGGAGTGTACATTTGTGGCAAGTACAAGTTTATTGGATTGTATTTCTGGAAAGTTTAAGTGTGTATTGATCGTCAGAGTCGGAGAATTTGAATTATACGGTATCTTCTCGTTAGGAACGGGTTAGTTTGAGTATATTTTCTCGACAAAGACGGTGTATTTCAAGTATATTTATATCGTCAGGGACGGTGCATTTGAACTGTATTTTCTCGTTAGGAACGGGTTATTTTGGGATTATATTTCACTTCAAGATCTGGTTTATATTCAAGTATACTTTATCGTCAGGGACGGTGCATTTGAACTGTGTTTTCTCGTTAGGAACGGGTTATTTTGGATTATATTTCACTTCGAGATCTGGTTTATATTCAAGTATACTTTATCGTCAGGGACGGTGCATTTGAACTGTGTTTTCTCGTTAGGAACGGGTTTATATTTTGGATTATATTTCACTTCAAGATCTGGTTTATTTAAAAGTATATTTATATCGTCAGGGACGGTGCATTTGAACTGTGTTTTCTCATCAGGAACGAGTTATTTTGGATTATATTTCACTTCGAGATCTGGTTTATATTCAAGTATATTTTATCGTCAGGGACGGTGCCTTGGAACTATATTTTATCGTTAGAACGGTTATATCTGACTATACTTACTCACCGGCGATCTGGTTATTGTAAAGTATATTGATCATCAAAGACATATATCTTCTCGTTAGGAACGAGTATTTTGGATTAAATTTCACCTGAAGGTCTATATTTCACTTGAAGGATAATTTATATCGTCTGGGACAGTGTATTTGTATTATACAGGGTATTCTTGTTTGAACAGAATATTGGAGTGTATATATTGTCAAGGACGGTGAGTTTGGACTATATTTATTGTCAGGGACGGGGAATATAAGTTGTTAATTTTATTCAGGAACATATGTTTCTGGGTACATTTGTGTTATAACTTTATAACTGATACCGCATATATGATCAACAGTAATGTCTGTGCGATCGTGGCCAACAGCACTTGATAGGGAACCAACTGAGGATAACCCAGCCAGGTCCGAGCCTGGACAAGGATGCATTGAAGAAACATGGATAGGTGTTCGGTTAGAAAAAGAAGAAATGGAAAAGGAGAAGATAAATGCTTTGTTTAAGACTCGTATACACTTAATGAACACCCTCACAGAGACGAAAGGATGGATACAGGAAGCGATTTATGCTGGTGAAACAGTGGATAATATCAAGACAAATAAAGAGCATTACGATGAATGTTGGAGAGAATTTGTCAGCAAGCACGAACAATACATGGAGTTACTCGTGAGCGAAGAGGAAAAGGATATTGCAAGTCGAAGTTATAAAGAACTGATGACTAAAAAAATGCATTTGGATGAAATGGTGATGTCTTTACGAAGGAGACTAATGCTAGCGTCAAGAAAAAAGGGAGAAGATGCTAGTTCATTCTCGGGAAAATCAAGGCGAACCTTGGCAAGTAAGTCAAGTCACAGTTCAAAATTCTCAACTGTGTCAAAAAGGAAAGAACAGTTAGCGCTCGCTCAGTTGAAGAGAAGCCAACTACTGAAACAGCACGAACTCGAACGAAGAATGACAGAGTTGAATTTCGAGAAAGAATATATGGAAGCCCGAATGGAAGAGGAACGAGCAATCGTAAGTTTGAATGTTTATGAGAAAGAATCAGATAACAATTCTGAGCATGAAAATGTTAACAAAAACACACTTTCAATGAATCAACAAGGGCAAGGACTATCACCCCTTTCACAACCGTATGTACCACAAGAGCAAATAGTACAAGGGACTAATATATCTTCACCCCAAGTTTCTAAGGTATATTCACCCGAAAGGCATGCTGAACAGTACAATGTGCCATTGCAACTGACACAGACATACCCTCAACAAGAACAAGCCAATGGAGCAAGTTTGTTGGAGTTTTCCAGGCACTTAGAGGTTGCAGATAGAACGTTGACAAGTATGGGGCCTGAATATGAAAGTGAGTTGAATCATGTCAACACCTTGCGAGAGTTGACTCGGAAGCTGCCATTATTTCTGCGAGTAAAATGGACAGAGCGTGCTGGTACGACGATTGAATCTGGCTCTAGACCCAAGTTTAAAGATTTCCTCCACTTCGTGAAGAAAAGAGCAACGTTTGTAAACAATGAGTTTGGGGAAGATCTTTGTGCGAGTCTTGTTAAACCGAAGGAAAATGTGAGGAGAAAAGATGGATCGAGAGAACCCTCCCGAAGATCATCTTTATTTGCATCCGGCTTGGATAATCGACAGAGTCATAAGAACGGAAGTGGGAATTCGATACGTTGCACGATGTGTTCTGGCAACCATAGAATTTGGAGATGCGATAAGTTCAAGAAACTTTCCTATCAAGAAAAGAAGAAAGTTGTGCGACAACGAGAACTTTGTCTTAAGTGTCTGAGTGAAGGTCATTATGCGAGAAAATGTCCTAAAATTCATTTTAAATGTCTGGTAGAAGGATGCAGTAAAGGACATAACACATTGTTACACCCACCGCAACCTGAAGCTGCTGTTAAGGAAGCAAAGGAAGACCAGAAACCTCCAGACCAAATTGAAACAACTGGCGGAACAGGAGAACAAGAAGTGAAAGTAACAGTCGCAACTGGGGCCGGCGAAAGAGTGTGCTTAAGTGTTGTTCCTCTTAAAGTACGAGCAAAGGGAAGTAATCAACCCGCCATTAGAGCTTATGCACTCTTAGACAGTGGATCTGAAGTTACGCTTTGCCATGAACGTTTGAAGAAACAACTTGCAGCAAGTGGAAGGAAGCTGGACTTCACATTGTCAGGCATGACCGGATCGACCAAAGTAAGAAGTGAATTGATAGACATTGAGGTGGCCTCACTGGATGGTGAGACACTGATCGAGTTGTCAAACGTTAGAACTGTCAATCAAATGCCGATCTCGGAAGCCTGCATTGCAAAGAAAGGAATCGTTCGAAGTTGGTCTCATTTACGTGATCTGCCATTACAAGAGTTGGAAACTAGAGATGTTATGTTGGTCATTGGACTTCAAGAGAACCCTTCCATCTTTTTGCCTTTGGAATATCGATCTGGAGAAGAAAGAGATCCTGTGGCAATCAGATACAGTTTGGGTTGGACGGTGATTGGGCCCGTTGGTGAAAAAATGGATGGCATGTGTGCGACATCAAATTTTGCTAGAATGTCTGTCAACGCTGATGATCTTTCAACGGAAGATCATACGTTTGAAAGTCCGAAGGAAGCGAGGGAGTTCCTCACAGAAGACCGTGCCATGGAAGAAAATGAGCATGTAATGAAGGATAGAATTGAAGAAGTTAAAGAAGTTGAACGTGTTCAAGTTGATCGTGAAAACACGGATGAAGATCTAAAATACCAATTAGAAAGGCTGTGGAAAACAGACTTTGAAGGTTCTCTGGTAGAAACCAAGGTGTGCCCGTCGGTGGAAGATAAGAAAGCGCTACAAATGATGAAAAAAGCACTGAAGATAGTGGACGGTCATTTTCAAGTTGCTCTGCCATGGCGGAATAATCCACCATATTTGCCCAACAACAAGATGGTTGCAGAAAGACGGGGTTTGCTTCTGAAAAAACGCCTTCTCCGCGATGACGAACTGTTGAAAAAGTATCGGACAACGTTGAATGAGTACTTAGAAAAGGGTTACGCTGAGAAAATCCCTAAAGAGCAATTGGACATGGAGAACAGACCGATCTGGTATCTCCCACATCACCCGGTTACGCATCCCCTAAAGCCCGAAAAGGTTCGAGTGGTATATGATTGTGTAGCAAGTTATGGAAGAACTTCGTTGAATCAGCAGCTTTTGCAAGGTCCAGATCAAACAAATCAACTGACTGGCGTGCTTATCCGATTCCGAGAAGAATCTGTTGCAATGGTTGCAGATGTAGAAGCAATGTTCCACCAGGTCTTGGTGGAACCCCGCGACTGCGATGCATTGCATTTCTTATGGTGGCCGAGCGAAGATCTTTCTGGCGAGATGGAGGAATATAGAATGACAAGACATCTATTCGGGGCTACGTCTTCGCCTAGTGTTGCTAACTTCTGCTTGCGTAAAACAGCAGAGTTACATCAAGATGAATTTAACCCTGTGGCTATAGAGACGGTGAAACGTAATATGTATGTCGACGATTTGATGAAATCATCAAAGGAAACAAGCGAGGCGATAGGCTTAGTGAGTCAACTGCGCCATCTACTCGAAAAGGGTGGTTTTCGTCTCACAAAATGGTACAGTAATAGCAGAGAGGTGATGAAAACGATTCCCGAAACAGAAAGAACCAAATCTGTGAAAGATTTAGAATTGGACCGGCTGCCTACCGAAAGCGCTCTTAGTATCAAGTGGAATACCGAAGAAGATAAATTTGAGTGGGATGTCTCGGAGAAAATGTTGCAATTAGTAAACGAAGCTTCTGTCACTCGGCGAGCGATCGTGTCAGCTGTTTATTCACTCTTCGATCCTTTGGGGTTTATTGCACCCTACGTAATGAAAGCGAAGTTGTTGCTACAGATGTTATGTAGAAAGGGAGTTGGATGGGACGATCCACTTCAAGAAAACGAGAAGGCGCAATGGAAACGATGGTTGGCTGACCTTCCAAAGTTACAAGCAATACGTGTCGATCGCTGTTTCAAACCCGTTGGATTTGGCGTCGTCAAGGAAATACAGCTACACCTCTTCTCAGACGCCTCGCGACTTGGCTACTCGGCAGTTGCATACCTCCGTTTAGAAGATACCAATGAACAGATTCATTGCGCATATGTTATGGGAAAAGCTAGGCTTGCTCCCTTACGAGAGATTTCAATTCCAAGATTGGAACTAACCGCTGCAGTTATCTCCGTGAGACTTTCCAAGATCATACAAGAAGAGTTGGACCTGGAGATAGAAAGAATTTACTACTGGACAGATTCGATGTCTGTCCTGAAGTGCATTAACAACGAAAGCAAGAGATTCCACACCTTTGAATCCAACCGCCTGACAGTAATCCGCAGTGGTTCTGATCCCTCCCAGTGGATGTACGTGAATCGAGATGACAACCCTGCGACGACGGTTCCAAGGGAGTTAAATTGGACGCCATGATATCTAATGATCGGTGGCTAAATGGTCCTGAGTTTCTTTTGAAGGACGAAACACACTGGCCTACGATGGTTCAAGTCCCGGTATTGAAGTCTGATGACCCCGAAGTGAGAAAGGAAGCTCAGATTTACGCAACCACAGTACGATGTAACGTCTTGGAGATGCTGATCTCACATCACTCCAGCTGGTGGGAGTTGAAATGCTCGGTTGCACGGTTATGTACGCACAGTGAAAGTAAAGACCAGTTCGACAGTATCAACCCGAGCGAAACACCGAAGAAGGGGAGAGAACAAGATCAATACAACGATACTAACACGGCCTGTGGCGAAGTTGTGTTTGCTTGAAATGGACGGAGAGTAATCTGGCTAGGACTATGAATGAGCATGTTGAAGTAAACAGTGAAATTTGACAATTTATATTATATTTGTGTTAGAGGTTAAGAACGGTAGCCTTCATGGAGTTAGTAAATGGACTATTAGTATATGCCCATTTAGGGGCCGGTGTAGCTACCGTATGGATTTTCCCGCCTTGCGCATGCGCAGTGGACGCATTTTGGCATGGCAATTAGGGCGGCCATGTTGTTTGTTTAGTTTTTGCTTAGTCGTAGAACCAAACGGTTCTAAACGTAATAGTAAAGGTACAGTAAAAGTAAACGTAAAATTTGATAATTTTAACGTAAGATTTGTATAATGTGACGTTTGTTTCAAATATATGATAATTTTATTCAACATCAGGTGCTATAGTCGGACTATAGTAACAAGTGTCTTTCTTATGCGCGTGATGATGTAGCAAAAAATATTATCTAATATAGGATATTATCTTACGTCAAAGCGGCGTTCATCTGACTTCAACTGCTGTTTCTTCGGAAGATTGTTTCCGGTGAACATTGCGATGTATTCACTCCAGGATACATGCTCGTCTTTATTTGTGTCCCATTTCTTCAAACGATCATTTGTGTTCTTCAGAGAATATCTTTTCATGTTTCCTTCAATCCAGTTTTCAATTTCTTGGGCAGTGATCTTGCCATCTTTATTAACATCTATTTTTTTCGCAATTTCCCTACGAAAAGATTTTTAGAAAAAATCGTCCGTGTGAACGTAGAATATACAGATAATTAAGAATTGAGTGAAGCTGAGCAGGATATCAGAATTATTCAGACCGAGGTTAGCGTTATATGCCGAAACGAAGCTGAGGCAGATAACACGGATCGAGATCTGGATAATTCTGATATCATGCGTATAAGCCGAATTCAATAATTCTTTTATCATTCAGAATCTTTAAATTTTCAGAATCTTTGTCTTGAACTATTTTTTTTCAATTTGCTCTGTTGAAACCGAAGCAAAACGAGCAGAAGCAGCAAAAGCCATTGTCAAAACAAAATAATTTTGTTTTTAATTCCCGCTCTTTTCCAATTAATCATGCAAAATACCGATGCAAAAATACGCGGGCACCTACAGATACGATATTTATTTGTCATTTTCACATGCAGATACGAGACTTTATTTGTCATGTTCATGTCTGTACCGAGATACGGCCGAAAATTATCTGTAGGCTTTCAATCAATAAGAATACGAGAAAAGAGTACAATTAATAATAATCCAATTCAGTCGAACCTTTCCGCCTTACGGGTGTTTGTCTAATATGAAAATCTCTCTAATGCGGGTTATTTTCTAATACTGACACCCGGAGATAGATAGATTATTTAATAAGTTACCTTGCAGTTTTACACTGAATTGCGCAACTTTTACAAAAAATTTACAACTTAACTACTTTACTAACTAAAATTTCTTTAAGAGTCAAAGTCTTATTTTAAAAGTTATAAAATCTATATTGTT